TCATTTCAGCAAACACGAGTGAATGCTTTGTAACTGGAGTCCCGAAAGTAGCAAATCTTGGCCCTACTCACAACACGTTACAAACTTGGTAATTAAGCCTCAGGAATGGCCAGTGTTTCTCTAGGGCTATATATTATTTTCCCTTTGGGAAGGAGAGAGGGTCTGGAAAAATGCTTCTCGTTTTGCAAAAGGAAGAACTGAGTTACCCAAAGTCACCCAACAAATGAAGGGTGAATTGAGGGCTAGAATCCCATTCTTTTACTCAGGAAATGGGGTGAGGTGACCTCATAAGAACCACTTCAGATTGCTGTTTCTATCATCAGCACCTGTCAGCTCTCTTTTTCTAGGGAAACTGAGGTCTAGGGACTTGAAACTTGTAAAGGGTCATCAGTGCTGAGTAGGAACAGAGGCCCTCCATCCTCACTGAAGACAGAAACACAAGGATTTGGGACCTTGCTTAACATACTCAGGAGCCTGACTCAAGGCCCTCAGGCTGGGATTCTTCCAGTAACAACCAAGTCTCTCCATAGGTGGGCCTTTCACTGCATTCATAATCCTTTATGGAGGGCCTACTAAGTGCCAGGCAGTGTTGCTAACAATCCTGAAAGGCAGGTATCATAACTAGCCCCCTTAGATAAGTAAAGGCACAGATTCAGAGAGGTAAAAACAACCAGGATCCAGGACTGCAGCCCCTCTCCATGTTTCAGGAGACAGTGTTTCCTGGCACAAAGCACTTACCTGTGCCCCATCATACTTTAAGTAAACAAGTCAGGACAAATAGGGCCACAATGCAATGAAAAAAGCTACATGTCAACCCAAAGATACACATATTCTAAACTTTTACGACTCATTTCCAGGGGCAGTAATGATGGTGCTGATGGATGGGGAAGAGCTCTGGCTTCCGGCTTCCCAGTGGAATCCCCACCCACTCAGCCACCTGTGTAACCCACAAAAGTTACTTTATTTTTATTTTTTAAATACTTAATTTATAAATATCTGTTCTATGGGACACAAGTTATTTAATGCCATTTGTCTTCAGTTACCTCATCAGTAATATGAGCATAAAAATGCTTTTTTTTTGAGACACAGTCTCACTCTGTTGCCCAGGCTGGAGTGTACTGGTGTGATCTCAGCTCTCTGCAACCTCCCCCTCCCAGGTTTAAGCGATTCTCCTGCCTCAGCCTCCCAAGTAGCTGGGATTACAGGCACAAGCCACCACGCCCAGCTAATTTTTGTATTTTTTGTAGAGACAGGGTTTCACCATGTTGGTCAGGCTGGTCTTGAACTCCTGACCTCAGGTGATCCGCCTGTCTTGGCCCCAAAAGTACTAGAATTACACGTGTGAGCCACCGTGCTCAGCCAAAAATGCTTTTCTCGTAAAGTTTTTGGGAGAACAACTGAGATAAAGCATGTAAAGTTCTGTGAGAGAGGCCAGGACAGCAGTAGGGAGGCTGTGTGTGTGTGTCTGTGTCCATGTAATTCATTCCCCTTTGAAGGGGGCCAGGTACCCAGACTCCCCCCTGGTCTGGCATTCCTTCTGCTTCTTGGATGTAAAATCCAGAAGTGCCCAGGACTTTTGCTTCTTGGAGGTAAAATCCAGAAGTGCCCAGGACTGGGACAGGGTGACCCTGGGGAGGCCAGTCTGCAGGAAGTGGCTGAGCCAAAGGACAAATAATGGGTGGATTGGGCTGTGACGAACAGCCTGGGTGAGAGACCCGGGGTCCCGGGTTTGGGAAAAAGGAGGGGCAGGGGGTGGATACCCCAGAGACTCTTCCTGTGTCTGTCCTGGGTTGGCACACCAGAAGCCCTGTGCTGGGGAGAGGCGGGCGCCCTGTGGTGCATGACCAGCCTCCTGGGTCTCCAGGAAAGATGCTGCTACAGGGTTTCTGGAGGTTAAAGAGGTCCGTGAACCCAATCTGTCGCTGCTCCCAGTCTTGTTGGCTGGTGTTATAAATAAAGTTCTGGTGCCACAAAATAAATAGCACTCGCATACAAAATTTTCTTTTTTTTTCTTCTCAGCAAGGCAATTTACTTCAGGTCAGGAGTACTGAATACCCATTGTGTCTTTTCCCCTCAATTACCCGGGAGGAACCATCTATCGTCCTGTCCTGAAGGGAGTTCCTCTTAGGTCTGGTCGGACCTTTGCATGGTAATTAATTAAGATTTAGATCCCCTGTTAGGAAACCTGCTGGGTTAAGAGAATTTTCAGTGGTTAATGTTAAATCATTTTTTTCTAACAGAATAGCCTCATACTTGAAGGTTCTAGAGTCAGTAAGCTACCTTTTTTTTTTTTCCTTTTGACTTAGGATAGTTCTGACCTGATGAGGTGTGCTCACACAGTGAGGTTTCCTCTGAAAGTTATTTTTCTACTTTCTTCTGTTAGCAAAGCAGTTGCTGCTACAGATTGAATGCATTTGGGCCATCTGCGGGTTACTGGGTTAAGGAGTTTTGATTAGGGAGGTTATAGGTTGTCAGTGGCCTCAGTTCTTTGGGGCTACACCCTTGTTTACACTGACAACAAGGTGGTATTGGAGTGTTATAGGGTCATGGAGAAGACCTTCAATTATCAATTATATGTCTTAAATTTACCCTGGCTTTTAAAGGAATAGGGTACACTGTTTTCTCTTTACTACTTCTCTCTCTCTCTCTCTCTGACTCTCTGTCTCTCTCTTTCTCTCTCTTACTCCCTCTGTCTCTCTCTCTCTGCCTCTCTATCTCTCTCTTTGACTCTCTCTTTCTCTTCAACCTCCTCTCCCAGTTTCTCTTTCCCCTCTGCTGGTCTTTCCCTGCCTCTGCCAGCTGCTTATGCTGTTGTTCTCCCCTCTCCTTCCCCTTCCCCTAGGGAAGGGACCATCAGGAGTGGAGCTACTTTTTCTTCCCCTGAGAAGAAAGGAAAGGAGAGTTCTGAATATTTTTCTTACTACTGGAGGTTTGTGTGAGGTTTAACCCCCTGAAATTTGTGGAAGGCTCAACCCCTCAAACCAGGGGTGTCTTGCCTCACCTGCCCCAGAAGGCTGAACCCCTCATATCAGAGGGTGTCTTGCCTTGCTGCCCTGGAAGGCTCAACCCCTCAAACCAGGGGGTGTATTGTCTTGCTGCCCTGGAAGGTTGACCAAAAGAGGTCAACTACTTCTATCTCTCTCTTACTACTACTATCCCTTCCCCCCTCTGAAGGTCCCTTGCATACTTCCCACTCATGTTGTACTCTCTGGCTGCTCCCCCAAGGGAGAATTAGGCCCCTCTTAGCAGTGACATTCTGGTGTAAATCCCATGGCAGGATCCTTCCTAAGCCATATGAGGTAGCTACAGAACAGTGGAGAGGACCCACTCACTCCATCCAGCAGTAGGACTTGTCACCATCCACATGGACAACACTGCAAGTAGGGTTGTTTGTGATCATTCACGCACACACACATTTAGCCTTCCAGAATTTGACCACCAAGGAAGTACTTTACCAGCTCCTGCGGCTTCTCCTTCCTTGGTCTGCGCAGAGTCATCGTGGCAGTGTGTGAGGATCCTTTACCCTAGGTTGCCTGCTGGTTTGTTTCCGAGTTGCTGAGAGCTCACTGAGTGAGTCCTGATTTCTCACCCCTGAGGCCGTCACAAGAGGGTGGGGCATGCCTCCACATGAGAGAGAACCAGAGACCGCCCCCAGAGGGGAATGTAATCACCGGCAAGCCCCCAAATTGTTATAAATAAAGTTTCAGTGCCACAAGAGAAATAGCACTAGAATATAACATTTTCTTTATTTTTCTTCTCAGCAAGGCAATTTACTTCTATAGAAGGGTGTGCCCTCTCAGATGGAGCAATGGTGAGCACACACCTGGACAAGGGCATGGAAGGGGGGTTCTTATGCCTGACCCACGTGACTGCTGCTGCTGTGTCCTTTCCCTGTTGGCTAGGGTTAGACCTATAGGCTAAACTAATTCCGACTGGCTAATTTAAAGAGAGTGACAGGGTGAGTGGTTTGGCGGGAAAAATGGTTATGGCAGAGCAGGAAATCAGAATGAGTCAGGGTGAAGAATGAGTCAGGGAGGAATAGGTCAAAAAACGTTGCTTTATGAGGAACTTAAGTTTAAAAGTAGAAGACAGGCCGGGTGTGGTGGCTCATGCCTGTAATCCCAGCACTTTGGGAGGCCAAGGCGGGTGGATCACGAGGTCAGGAGATCCACACCATCCTGGCTAACACAGTGAAACGCCCTCTCTACTAAAAATACAAAAATTAGCCAGGCGTAGCGGCGGGCGCCTGTAGTCCTAGCTACTCGGGAGGCTGAGGCAGGAGAATGGCGTGAACCCGGGAGGCGGAGCTTGCAGTGAGCTGAGATCGCGCCACTGCACTCCAGC